TTCGTCCTTACAAATGTGAGGTTTGCAACAAAGCCTTCACCCAGCGCTGCTCCCTGGAGTCCCACCTGAAGAAGATCCACGGGGTGCAGCAGCAGTATGCCTACAAACAGAGGCGAGACAAACTGTATGTGTGTGAAGACTGCGGCTACACGGGCCCCACGCAGGAGGACCTGTACCTGCACGTTAGCAACGTCCACCCCGGGAGTGCTTTCCTCAAAAAAACCTCAAAAAAACTTGCAGCTGTTTTGCAAAACAAACTGAGCCCTGTCCTGCAGAGGAACTCCAAAGATGACAACAAAGATGAGTAACATGGTGGATTACAGTGGTCTAAAGGAATGAAGTTTACATGTAGGACTATATATATATTATTTTTCAAAAAACTCTTTTGAAAGAAAGCCCTAAAATGAAAGGGATGCTTTTGTTAATGTGACTCTCTTGATGCTGGTAGAACCTCAACTTGAAAGATATATTCCCATATGTTGCAAACATCAGACTCATTTTGTCTCGTCAAAGAAAAAGGACAGCTTGGAAGAGGCTGTCACCTCATGGATGGAGTGTTTCTGTTTCAGCTCTACCACACGTCCAAGTGGCTACTGAGAAATAAATTCACCTTTCCCCAGCGTGTTTTGTAAAGATAATAACCATTATCTCCCATAAAAATAACTTTTGAGAGGTTTGGGTGAAAAGTGCCATGTTAGAGCAGAAACTAGTACGTTGTTCTATGCAAAATGAATTAAAAAGGTCTTAAGAACAGGAGTACATTGTATCAGTAAATAAGTTAAATCGTGCAAATAACCTGAATTCTGCACTCTGTGCAGAACATTAACAGTTTCTGGAAGCATCATCCAAGGTGAGCTGAAACTTCTTTTAAGGATGCAGAACTATTTCCTGCCAAACTTTATTAGTGAATCACACTATTCCAGGGCAGACTTATGGCTGTTTTAGGTACTTTAAGCTGTGAAGTTACTTTCATGTTTAAATTTAAGTGTAACTTTTAAGTTCTCATATTTGTCATGCTCACTTTGGGGATTATTACCAGAACCTTTTAACATCTATCAGTATCAACCCTGAAACCCAAAGAAAACACTTTAATGACTTGAAGATATCTATTTTCTGTTATGACAAAATGCAGTTTTGTGTGTATTTTATGGTGTGTGTGTGTGTGTTTGGGGACTTTTTTTTCGTTTTTAATGTTCAAGTGTCCATTCACTAATACAACAGAGCAGTGCAGTGCAGTGGAAAGGGAGACTTGGCCTGTCTCTGCCTCATGAGGTCAGTGCAAAACTGTAGGCAGGAATCTGGCCTCTCATCTGTCACCACTGTCCGTGCAGAAGGCTCCTAGTGAGAATGATGCTACAAGGGAAGGAGTGGGATGGTGATGATGATGTTGAGGGACTGGTACATCGTCTTTGCTTTGGGATTTCCCCAGGAGTCCCGCTCCAGCCCCTGTTGACCCAGGACAACCAAGAGGATAGCCTGTAGGGACTATGGAGTGTGAATTTATGGATAAAAAGGGGAGAGGGATGCCCACCTAACTCATGTTGCTGAAAACACCTGACACTTCAAGACTCTTCAGAAGCTGCTGCAGCCTGTACTGGGCACTTGGGTATCTCTATTAGGAGTGACAGGATGTGGTGGTAACTTCCTGAGCAACCACCAGGTACTCTGAGCACGTGTTATTCATCTGTCTCTCAACTTAATGGACACAGCTGCTAAAAAGCATTTACATAAATTTAAATGCATAACAGTTAATGATTTCGTTTGTAAATTCCAAAAATCCTTTTCATGCTCAAAATAAAGCTCTACATTTGGGGAGGATGCACTGTACTTTATGTCCGTTACGGCAGCTTAAAAGTAACCACCTAAAATACAGTCAGAGCCAGGACATTTATAGTAATTACTACTAAAATGATAGAGTCTTTATGATTCTTGCAGAGATACTAAAAGTTTATTGATTTGCCTCATTTTGTACAGGCACCTCGTGGGACAAAGCTTCTAGGGGTTTTAAGGCATTTGTAATATTAATACTTCACTCAGCACAACTGTCAGTGCTTGGGCCCTTGAAAACAAGGATAATAAAGCGATGCTACTGTGTAAAGAACAAACTTGTCACCCTAAGTAATGGGAAAGTTTGCACAATACTTTAATAAATGGGAAGTCCACAGGAAAAAAAAATCTGATACAAATTAGAAGATCCTTACTTTGCAAAAAGAGCTAAAGCTTACGCTCTGATGCCCAGTTCTTCTGAGATGATGCCATTATAACTCAATAGCGTAAATAGAAGGTTGCTCACTCTGAGCAAAGCTTGTGTGCTTGCAAATCCATTGACAAAACTGCTTGGCTAAGCAAAGCAACAACAGCTGGTTTGGGCAGTTGTGCTGGCAACATTTGGCTGTAACCCGCTCAGTGAGGCCTCAGGCATGAAACTCAACTGTAGAGTTCAGCTCCTAGGTGGGACAGTACAGTCCACCTAAGCAAAGCTGCTGCTGGGAAGGTGTGGCTGACACCCTCCCTCTCTAGCTGGAGGGGTGTGTGTGTATGTGTGCATGCCTGTGTGGTGTTTTTTTTTCCCCTCCTGTAGCACATACTGCTTTTGATTTCCCTCTAATATCACTGCCAAAGCACAGTCCTGCTAGAAGAACTACAGACACATTGAGGTGGTCCATCCATGTGATTCCAGTCAAAGCATTCACAGCAATGGAGAAGAGATGCAGTTAAAAGCACACAGAAGAAAACACTCTGGATGAAGAGCAGAGCTCTGACAAGGTGGACCACGTAGCTGATGTAACTGCCTTGACTGTCTGTCTAGTTCTTCTGCAGAGGGCAAATACTGCCTGCAGCAGATGCCTTGGGCACCTTCATTTAACAGGCTGGCAAGTCAGCTTAAACTAGTCACCTGGTGGATTTGAGCTTACATGACACTGGCAACGGCCATTTACCAGTTCTGTTATGGGACAAAACTGGCACTAGCTTGTGCCTCTGCAGAAGTGTTCTAGAGCTCACTCAGAGATGCCTGAGGCAGCCACACTTTCAGAAGTGCTAGACACAGTAACTGCCACCGCTCTGGTACAGACTCATCCAGTAATTAAAGACAGGTTTACAAACTGACATTGCCAGTGAAGCTGGCAGCCTTCCTCAGACACACGGGCTCAGTTAAATGACCACAGGTGAAGCAAACACGTGCCCACACTGCCCAGGCACCAGACCTGTCCTTAATTTGCTAGGAGGCAGGATGAGGCTAAAACCTTACATGTTTCAGAGAAATCTAATGACTGTACAATGCACTGACGAAGGCAATCCTACCCAAACACTGGATAAACAGAGTGTGGAACAGTTGAGCAATCTCAATCACGCAGAGAATTCAGCATGTTTTTTCAGCTCCTGCTTCTGCCCAGGCATCTTACCTCTTGCTTATGCCCACCTTCTCTGTATCCACAGAACCACCTTTCATGGAAAACTGACCATGTTCAGTGACATTGAACCACCTACTTACAAAATTCTGTGATGTGGGAAGATACTCGTGAAACAGGTAGAACTTCTGAGAGCTCAGGCAGTGTTGTCATGGTTAGTCATCTCTGAACCCAGTTTCTCAGTCTCCATGGTTTGTCTTTTTAGATACAAATCTAATTAAGTACAGAGTAATCATACCATCACCAGGCCAGGTTTGAATAAGCAAGAACTGCTATAACAAAGTTTCATTGCGTAGGTATCCTTCTGGCTGAGCTTCTGGAAGCTTCTGGATTGGTCACATTTTTAGTTGTAACCTGCAGTGTTATTATGAAAACTCATACAGACAATTCAGAGAAAACAAAGAGAATGAAGAAAAAAGCCTTCCAGGTGTGCAACACACAAAGCAATACCACCTGACATCATCAAGTCTCATTTTGTGTCTTACAGACTTGATTTTATGAAACAAGCTTCAAAAATAACTTTTGTTTTAGAACATTTATTCATGAACTTATCTGAAAAAAACCAAACAAACAAAACAAACAACCCCAAAGTACAAAAACTAACCCCTCCCAAAAATCAGTCAGCAGCTCTTCACTTCTTAGAAGGCCTGGCTTCAAAGTCACACGCCTGCCTTTATAAAGAGACTTCCTCTCACTGACAGTAGCTCTATCTTGACACTGGAAATCATTCCACACGGGTAGGCTCCTTGTCAGCTCAGACTCACAGTGAAGTCAGGAGAGCTCAAGACAGCTGCAGGCCTGGCCTGCACAGAGCCTCACAACCCAAGGCACAGAGATGGTTTACACTAACACAGTTCTTTTATGTGGACCACACAGCCTGTTAAGAAACCTGCAGGAGGAGCCACTAGAAGCAGTCACACTCCCCAGCTTTCAGGACACTCGCTGAAAATTTCTGAGTGTATTGGTTACAGTTCTGCTCCTCTTGCTAAGCCACTTCTTTTAAATGATCACTTTGCCTTAGTATTGTAATTAAGTGCTTAGGAGAACTTTGGTTATAATACTTAGCACAGTTTTTCCAGTTGCTGCTGTAAGAAAAACCACAAATAGTAACAAGCCTGCTAACAGATACCTTTGAGATGAGCAAGACCTAAGCTGACTGAAACCCACACTACTATATTAATTTATCATTTGCATTTCTCTCAGCTCTGACAACACAGATGTTATTTTGCTTCAGTTCACCAACCTAAAAAACTTCAGTTCTGCAACAGGTTGTGTTTGGGTTTTTTTTGTTTGTTTGGGTTTTTTTTCCCCACAAAAATGGCAGAAAAAAAAGATGATTTGATTGAATAATTTTACTTTTCAACAGAAACTTTCCTATCAACCTCGGGTTGTATAAACTATGCAGGGAAAAACAGGGATTGGTTGAGTTTGTCCTGCTTGGTCCACTTAAGTCACCTAAAACATAAGCAAATACACATTCCACATGCCAAATTTCCTTCTTTTTTTTTAAACGAGGAAAAAACCGCTGACTTTAAGAAATCAACTTAAATTCCTCAAAAATGAAAACGTGAAAACGTATAAAAGTGGCATATTTAAACAAAGGGTTCTTGCTTTGGCTCTGTGTTCAGACCACTTGCCTCTGCACAGCTTAGTTTGGGTCACTTTCTGTCCATGTACTCTTCAAGACGCAACAGCCACTTGTTCCAGTACTCTGAGCACAGAGCAGGATCCATGAAATGTGGATGTGCAGGGGAGCCGTCCTTGTAGGCAACCACAATGAGTCCACACCTAACCTACAGTTGCAAAGAGAAGGCTGTCAGAAATTCAACATTAACATGCAACTTCCATCAGCGATTCCAAAAACTATACCCCACTGCGAAATGGCATCTTAACATGTGAGTATTTTAAATAAGAAATAGGGAACAAAATTGAGCTATAAAATACTAGGAGACTAACACTCAAATGATCCAAAGAGTCAGTCACGAGTCCAAAGCTCTGACTGACTTCAGAGGACTTCAACTCTGAGTATCACAGTGATAGGGTCTATTTAAACCTTGCAGATGGTGGTAGAACTCCCAATGACTGATGAGGTCCTGCCTGGGGCCATCTCATCTGACTGATGCCATTCTCCAGAATCAGTCTGGATGAAAATGGTTACTTAGGTATGTTCTGATGTTTTCATACTTTTAAACATCTAATCCAACTCCCAAAGAGCCACTGGTGTGAAGAGAAAACAGTGGGGGACAGAAGGCTAACAGCAGAATTCTAGAATTACTGCCTGTGTTTTACTCTGTAAGGATCACGTCTGTTAAGCGCTTGTGTTTACTGACCTCTGTAGTATTCCAGAACATCTGTTGGACAATGAATTGCCCTGCACTCTTTTTTTTTTCCCCCTTTCTTTATATTTTCCTCCTTCAATGCTCTGTATTGAAGTAACAATTCTTCAGGCCGAGCAGGCCTGGCTAGAAATGTGTTTGGAGTCTATCCAAACTGTTCTGATTGACCAACACACCGCCCTCCTCTGAGGAGACACCGGACAGCTTCAAAATGCTAAGTAAGCCACTTAGTCCCTCATTTGCTTGTGGGATATAGCAGCATAGGATACAAGCAGTGCCTGCCCACCTCATTTCCCTGCTTGCATGCTCCTCTGCTTCACTTCTCCGCTGTCCTTCTCTTGACACAAGCAAACAACACAGAGAACAAAGCACTGGGAGCTGCCCAGACACCACGTCACTGTGAGTTCATCTGACCCAGGATACTGAGCATCCCTCAGTCCCACCAAGCAGTTCCTTAAACCACTGAAATTACGCTGCTGACAGGCAGAGGCAGCAGGATTAGCAAGAGCAGTAGAGTTTTTCACAGTGTGTCAGCTTAAACTGATCTAATACTGGGCTGCTTTGTTACAGTTCTAACCAGCAGCTCTATGATGGACAACAGGTGCTCAAGGCAGTGTGTGTGTGTGAGGAGAATGAAAATACTGTGGGTGCTGCTGCTTGTCTCGGCAGGTAGCAGGCCTACTGACCTGGAACTCATAATTGGCATCATGATTTATGGCTCCAATATATGCTGCAACCTGTAACGGGTTGTCAAAAGTATTCTTCAGAAATGGCTTTGGTTTCTCTGAAGTTTTCCAGTCGATCACACACAACTGGCCTCTGCATAAGAGAACGAGATAGGACAATGTTTTAAACTTCAGTCACAAGTAAGCACTGTCTCACCCCCAAATAAGGGATGAGACAGTGAAGAAAGCTGTATCACTCTCAGTCTGTTTCACCCTGATATCATGTTGCTCAGTATTATGTCTAAGCAAGTCTCTTCTACAAAAATCAAGACTTACTGATATCTGCTGCAGTTTCTGGCAACTGCTGAGGATCACTTAACGCTGCCCTGCTCCCACCCTGTTCCAGTAAGGAACCATCCACCACAAACAACAGAGCTTATGTCACTGGGTTCATCCAAGGGAGTTCACCCATTTCACTGCTCTTAGAGCTCTGCTCAGCTTCCCCCAGGCAGCTCCAGCCTGGGACACGGCCTCCCACACGGCACAGAGCACCACACAACACTGGGGTTATCAGGGTCTCTAGAGGAGGAGTCCCTCACCGGTACTTAGCCACACAGTCTACCAGGCCCAGATACTGCAGGGTCTCGTGCTGAACTGCACTCTCCAGAGCTTGCACTTCACTGATATCTTCTAAGACCCGTTGCACACTTGATAGGTAGCCGGAAAGAGCAACATCTTCTCTCTGCTCCTTAGCTGCTGTCTTTTCAGACAGGAATAGAGACTCCAAAGCTGCATGAAAGAGCTCTCCTTGGAGGAAAAGATCTAAGAAAAATGGGAAAAAAAATCCCACATTTTAGACGCTACTCATAATACCCAATGGACTTGTATTCTAGATATTACACAACATAACTCTTAAAACAGTCGTGGGTTTTTTTTCCCCCCCTCTTTTTTGTCACTGAAAACTTCAGTATGTGGAAAGAATGGAATGAGACAGAAAAATGAATTCTCAACAGCGAAATCAGTATCTCTTAAATTAATACTTAATTTACTTTTTTTCTCACTAATTACTTAGAAACAAAATATCATTTTCGATTTATTGTGTATTCAAAAGCATTTGTACATTTCTACAAATGAAAAATATTCTAGGCTGCTTTTGCTGCATTTGCTTTTTCTGCTGTATTGGTTCATTTGAATGGAACTAATCTTGTCCTGAAATGGGTGGGTCTAGTTCTAGGGGTAAGGGCTTATCTCAGCAACTATTCCAAGAAAGATAAATTTTAAATAGCTTTGTAAGGTTTGTTATGTCACCTTATTCACTGAAGTGCTCAGTAACTCAAGAAGCATAAACACAGGCTATTCAGTCTTAGAAAGCATAATCATTCAAGTAAGGAGTGCTTGGGTATTTATCAACCTTGCTACAAAGAGGCTACATACATCAGCTCCTCCCAGATCCCCTTTGGTCCTAAGGCTTGGAGAAAGTCACCTTTGTAGGTCTTACAAAATGAAAACCTCTAAATGCATGGCAATTTCATGGAAGAGGCTATATATACTGGATAAACTAAACAGTTACCAAAGAACTTCAACGTAAACAGCAAGACACAGGTTTTTAAGCACTCAGAATGGTAACATTTCAGAATGATTATTTCCATCTTGTTACAAAGTAGTTTTGTAGCTGCAGACAGATTCAATAATAGCAGCTGGAAAATATCTGTAAATAGATACCAGCAAATAGAGACATAAAGGAGAAGTAGACAGAATCATACAATCACTATAGTTGGAAAAGACCTCCAGGATCATCAAGTCCAACTTTCCTCCAAACATTTCCCTAACTACTAGACCATAGCCTCAAGTGCTGCATCTACTCGTTTTTTGAACCCCTCCAGGGATGGTGACTCCACCACCTCCCTGGGCAGCCCGTTCCAGTGCCTCACCACTCTCTCAGGGAAGAAATTCTTCCCAATATCCAACTGAAAACTCCCCTGGCACGACTTGAGGCAATTTCCTCTTGCCCTATCATCAGTAAT